CATGGACAGTTTAGAGGTTTTTAGTTTAGAAAGGTATCATGTGTCAGCTCAGTCTTGGTGGGCCGAAGGGCCTGTTCCTGTGCTGTACTTTTCTTTATTCTTTGAATGGAGATGTGGTATATTCCTAAAATAGTACGAGATTTGAAAGTGTTGTCTTTGAGAGGGACCTGGGCATGTCCTTATTCCTTTGTCTCTGGAAGCGAGTATGCAAATGCAGCAAGTTATTGTTCATTACTGTTTGGGACCTGGGTGTCTCTGGCAGGGCCAGCAATTATTGCTCATCCCTAATTACCCAGAGGGCAGCTTTCTTCCCGAAAGGACATTAGTGAACCAAATGGGTTTTTATAATAAAAGGCAGTGATTACATGGTCACTATTACAGAAGCATGTTAATGTAAGTTTGTTAATTGAATTGAAATGCCTCTTCCTATGCCCTGAACTTGAACCTGGGGTTGTGGGTTCCTGACAAACTGACTTGGCCATTACTCTGTGGGCTCCCTATACCATTCTGAATGCTCACGGTGTGATTGCCTTCATTCTAACGGGATTCAAATGCAGCAGCAAGGATGACATGCTGCATGTCTTTGTAGTCTTGATGGGATCACACCTGGAGTACTGCGTGTGGCTCTGATCCCTCTGCCTAAGGAAAGTTTGACCTGGGAGTGCAGTGAAGGTTCACCAGACTGAGGCCCTGGGAGGGTGACACTGTCTCTGAGGAGAGAGTGAGGAGACTGCACCAGGATTCTCTGGAGCTTAGAGGAATGAGCGCTGACCTTATTGAAATGATAGGATTCACCAGTGGGTGGGGGTTTGGATATGGTGTTACCTGAGGCTAGAACTGGGGTCACAGCCTCAGGTTAGGGGCCTGAGCTGAGAAGGAATTCCTTCAGTCAGAGAGCAGTGAACAGGTTATTGGTGTCACTGTGACTGTTGTAGGTTATTGGTGTCACTTTGACTGTTAGACTCTTCTCAGAGTTTGGTATCACAGCAGTTTCTGAAACTATTCTAAACCACAAATTCTAAATCTAAATGTGTGTGTGTGTGTGTGTG